CCAAGATTAAGAAGGATGCGAAGGGACAGTTAGTCTTAGTAGATGTAGAGATTTTAGAGGCAGAGTAGGGGCCCTTATAGATAGTGGGGCTACACGCAGCTATATTACTAGAAAGGCGCTGCAGAAGTTAAGTTGGGTTTAAAAGTCCAAAAGTTGGAAGACCCTGTAGTTAGTATCCTCGCAGACAATCGCACTATGCGAGTTGAGGATTACGTAGAGGGAGTCCAGGCGTACTTTCGCCTAGAGAAGGATGGGAAGGTGGAGAAAGTCTTCCATTCCCCGACTCTCCTCGTAGAGGACAGCCTCCCCTTCGATATAGTACTAGGAATGGACTAGGGAGAGGCGGTAGGAGCCACACTCCACCTGAGAGAGCATGAGTGTAGGCTCCCTAGTGCAACAGACGAAGTTAAGACGGCTCGTCTGTTTCATGTGTCAGGAGTAGAAAACTCTCTGGCACATTGTTGCCTCAGTGCTCCCGCGTTCGCGCGATTGGTGAGGAAGAAGCAATTGGAAGAATAGGTCTTTGTAGCCTACGTTAGGTCGGTCATTGAGCCTAAGGAAGAGAGACCCATAGACCCTACTATTGCCAAGCTGGTGGAGGAGTTTACGGACTTAGCTAAGCCACCAACAGTAGTACCGCGACCAATCCAGCATCGAATCGAGATAGAGCCTGGCAGTAGGACTCCTAAGGGTGTTGTGTACAGAATGTCCCCAAGGGAGTTAGAGGAGCTGCGTAAGCGATTGGACGAGCTCCTTGAAAAAGGTTGGATTAGGCCCAGTCCGTCTCCATTCGGAGCACCTCCCGAAGAAGGAGGGTGAGTTGCACGTGTGCATAGACCATAGAGGTCTTAATGCAATTACAGTGAAGAATGCAGAACCACTGGCCCGTGTAGATGACTTGTTGGATCGGGTGCAGGGCTGCAAATATTTCTCGAAGATAGACTTAAAGTCCGGTTATCATCAGATAGAGGTTCACCTTGATGATCAGTATAAGACAGCATTCCGGACTAGATATGGGCACTATGAGTTTATAGTTATGCCCTTTCGACTAACCAATGCACTCGCTACATTCCAGCGTTGTATGAATGATTTGTTTAGGCCATGGTTAGATAGAATTGTGGTAGTGTATCTAGATGATATCTTAGTCTTTAGCAAGACCCTCCAAGAGCATGAGGGTCATCTGAGGCAGGTCTTGGAGAAACTTAGAGAAGCTTAGAGAAGCTGACTTCAAGATCAACGCGAAGAAGTGCGAATGGGCCAAGACCCAAGTTTTGTACTTAGGCCACGTCTTAGATGGAGACGACGTTAGACCTGAAGACAACAAAATCGCAGCGATTAGAGATTGGCCAACGCCCCGCGCACTGACAGAGTTGCGATCGTTCTTAGGCCTAGCTAACTACTGTAGAAGTTCGTAAGGAACTTCTCCACCATCGCTGCACCCCTTCGCAGGTTGCTAAAGAAAGAAGCAATCTGGAAGTGGGACAAGGATTGTACATCAGCCCTGAAGAAGTTAAAGCGGGCTTTGATAGAGTACCCAGTCCTTAAGGTAACTGACCCGTCGCTGCCTTTCGTTGTAACCACCGACGCGAGTTAGTACGACATAGGTGCTGTTTTACAGCAAGACGATGGGAATGGATATAGGCCCGTAGAGTTCATGTCTGCCAGGATGTCGTTAGAGAAGGTAGCGACATCCACCTACGAGAGGGAACTCTACGCTCTCAGGCAAGCACTAGAGCACTGGAAACATTACTTGCTTGGATATAGGTAGAGACCTGCAATAGAAAGTTAGAGAAGCGTATGCACATGACCCTATCTATAGTGACCTCCTCAAGAGAGTTAGGGAGTCCCCAGAGTCCGAACCAGACTACTGCACTACTGATGGATTACTGTTTGAGAAGTCTAATGTAGCTGACCGTCTGTGCATTCCTAACAGTGAAGAGATCCGCAGTTTGATCTTAGGGGAATGCCACGACACAGAGGGACACTTTGGGTGGCAAAAGACACTCGCTAACCTCATGCACGCGTATATCTGGCTTGGGATGAAGGCCGACTGCATAGAGTACGTGCGTAGTTTGTAAAGTCTGTCAGAGAAACAAGACTACTACGCAAGCCGCTCTTGGTCTTCCCAGACCCTTGCCTATTCCTGATAGACCCGAGGATTCTGTGTCCATTGACTTTATGGATACTCAAGTCAAGAGTAGGCATGGCAAAAGTCAAGTCATGGTTATAGTTGATAGATTTATCAAGTATGCAATTTTCGTTCCTCTGCCTGCAGAGGCACGAACAGATTTAGTTGTTCAGAAGTTCTTTGATCATTGGGTCAGTGAACATGGTATACTGTTGTCGATAGTTAGTGACAGAGACACCAGGTTCACCAGTCAAAACCGGTAGGAACTGATGAAAGTCTATGGCTCAAAGTTGCTGATGTCATCTAGCCGTCATCCTGAGACTAACGGTCAGACTGAACAGATGAATAAGCTCCTGCAGCAAGTTCTTAGGATGTACATTAGGCCCGACCAGATCAACTGGGATGAGATGCTCCCTAAGGTAGCCAGTGCATATAATAATACCGTGCACTTATCTACGTGTCGCACTCCCAACGAACTGCACAAGTCATTTAGACCACGGAGACCGTTCGAGGGACTTAACCGGGATCAGATCCAGAGGCTACCGCCCGGTACACGAGAATTTGCGATACAGCACAAGAAAGAGATAGCTACCATTGTCGACAACCTCAGGAAAGCCCAACATAGAATGATAGAGCAAGCTAATAAGCATCGTTGCCCCTCACAATTTCAAGTAGGCGACTGAGTCTGGGTCAAGTCAAAAGAGTTCGCTCCTGAGGAGAACATCTCACAGAAATTACTGCCTGCGTATAGAGGACCGTGGCCAGTCTTAGAAGTCAAGGGTGGAGAGGATGGACCTTCCTATACTATTGAGATTCCAACACACCTCCACACCTACCCAGTGTTCCATGCATCAAAGTTGTTGCCTTGCGTCACAAGTCAACAGTTTCCATCACATAGATCTATGATTCCTCCAGATATGGATGGAAGATATGACATTGAAGGGATAGTAGGTGAGGATGTCTTCAGGACAGGAGGTAGAGGTTGTCCCCAGAAACAGTACAAAGTCAGATTTGTCTATCAAGAGCCAGAAGACGACCGCTGGTTCACGCGAACAGAACTTCTAGAGACAGCTCCCGATATAGTCCGAGCCTACGAAAGAGATAAGAAGGGTAAAGGTCCTGCCTTAGACGGAAGTATTCTCAGAGGACCTCGAATTTAGGCCGGCGGGAGTGAAATGGTTTTCACGTTTCTACAGTCACAGATGTGGGCCCTAGAGTTTGACCCCCAGACCTTACTTCGCCCATGTACAGTATCGAGTTGACCCCCGAGTGTTTGAACCTGTGACCTGTGTTTTGGTAGTTGTTTGCCGTCTGTCGTAGTGGTAGGGGTTCGATCTGTAGTTCTGTCGATTAGGAGTCACAGCTCTGTAGAGGTCGTAGCTGCTACAGTCCCGAAAGGTCAAGGTCGTAGCTGCTACAGTACTCGAAAGGCCAAGTCCACAGACTTTCGGAAGGTCCTGAAGTGGCCTTTCGAAGTTGCCTCACGTTAAGCTAGAGGCAAGTGGGCAAGTGGTGAGCCCAACTGCGTTACGTCGGCAGTGCGACTGCATCGAATTGGCAGTGCAAACCCATGCAGTCAGYAGTACCGGTCCCAGTCAGTCAGAGTCCAGTCAAGCAAGTACCGTGTGGGACTGTGTGCACCAAGGGCCTGGGAAAGGGSCAGACCAATGAGTTACAAAAGTATAAATCAAGAGGCAGCGCCCAGCCATTCATTCATTCACTGCGTAAGCCATGYGGAAGCGCTGCTACAGCGTCTTGTGCAAAGGTGGTCTGCAGGTTGCCCGAAGATGAAGTGGGCTGAAGAGCGAGTTGTAGCCATAGCAGTAGTGGCGAGCGGCCATACCCGCCGCAGGTTAGAAGATAGGCTGAGTGTGTGTGCGTGGTAGTATTCAGGGAGATCCGGAGTTGAGTGTTGAGCGTGTGTGTGAACGGTGGCAGACAGTGACGAGAGTTGGTGTGTACAGGTGCTGATGCGTCATAGCCTATTGAAGCGAGTTTTCATCTGAACTGTGTTTCTGGTTTCCATATCTCTGAGCTTTGAGTGAGCGCCTTGCGCTAGTGTGAATCACCATCTGTTTGTATGTGTGTGAAGCGAAGAAGAGAGCGATTCTGATTGCATGTTAAGCAAGGCCCCACTAGTCCGCCATAGCCACCTACAAGGGAGAGGAGGTAGAAGGTGTAGGTCGTTGCTATAGTGGACCTCATGTGTTGCTGGCAGTAAGGAGGAGATTGGTTTTGGTTCATTCCTTCATTGTTATTATTATTATCTATTGAATTATGAGGTTGGGGGAGATAAGGAGGTTGAAGTGAGATGGGGAGTTGGAGGGGGATCTTCTTCTTCTTCTTCTTCTTCTTCTTCTTCTTCTTCTTCTTCTTCTTCTTCTGATGCTGATTCTTCTGACAGTCTTTATTCTTCTTCTTCCTTTGTCTATTTCTCCTTTTAAGTTTTTTTCATTTCGTTTGCAATTGAATGGTGTCGTATTTCTTTGTGTGTCATTGCTCTTCGAAATCGCCAGGATCATGACCGAAATCTTTTATCCATCAGGAAAAGAGAGCATGATATGGTAGGAGAGAAAAACTTAAAAAAAGAGAGCAGGTCATAAGGTCTGCCATGTCATGTCTGATTGTTTTCAAAGACTATCCTTTTGTTTTGTTTTTTTTCTTTTTCCAAACATTTCAAAGGCAGTCCTTGGGTTCTTGTTGTCCATTTCCTCCACTCACACAGTGACACACACACACAATTGTGCAGTGCACCTTTACACGTTTTTAACTATTTATGGATGCCCCTGTGCAACTCACGACTTTCTTTTTTCTTTTTTTCTTTTTTTGCCTGTTCTGTTTCCTTCATTGCTTGTCATTGATTTTGCAACAGATCCGATGGTGGTTAACAACCTTATCTCAGCCCATGTAAGCTATCTTTTTTTTACACCCCCTACTCGTTCTCAACTTCTCACGCTATTTCTGGAGTTCATTTTTCTTTTCCCATTCAAAACCACCACTGCCGTGCTCAGGAAACAGAGTCCAATGAAATTTGTCCATTTCCACGAGTTTCAGATGGAGGGTGCCACCCGGATCGGAAAAGAAAAGAAAAGTTAGAAAACACACCCATGACGGTTCGTTTTCTTTTTTGGCAGGCAGTGGGCATTTGTATTGGGAAAAAGAGGCTCCGATGTAGTGGTGGTTTAATAGGGCCTCATCATAGCACTCTTGAAAATGCGTTATTGTACGAGCCTATCCCTTATCCTTCCTACCACAAGTAATGGATTTGTAATTGTAGGTCACACTAACTGTGAATTGATTTCTCTATTTTTTTTCAATTTCCTAGTGACAATTCAGAATGAAACTGTTAGTTGCATTAAAAAAAAAAGGACAAGGGAAAAAAAGCGTTGGAGTGGAATCTATTGAACACCACAACTCTTGAGATTTCAGGGGCCTGGGGTCTGGTCCCACCTACCGTTGTTGAGTTCAGAAAACTCAACGGTGTGACGCCATTTCGAGATTAATAAATTCGAAACAAGAAATTTGCGAGGAGTTGGGTCCTCGGCAGGCCTAAGAGGCCCAGTTGCAAATGTGCCCGCCCTAAGTGAAGGCGGGCCTAACAAATCACGAGAGGCCCTCAGCTCAGTCAGCTGCCAATTTCGTATTTGGGGTCCAGGCAGTTGTGACGCGCCAGTTGGTTGAGGGAAACACAGGCCGAGCAACAAAGACATTCCATGGCCTTCTGGGCCTTTCCAAAAATGCAGGCCCTGGGCGAGAATCGTAGCCTCATACACAGACAGTCGGGAGGCCCAACTGAATGAGGCCCAGTAGCTGCAACAGAGGCGGAGCATCCTGGGGCCTACCGGAAGCTTCTGGGCCGAAGCCCAGGCCAGCCAGGCTGCGAAGGCAGGCAGGCTCTCCATATAAGAAAGAGGTTGCTGCCGGAAGCCTCATTCAGCATTTGCATGCTGGCGCCAGCACTGCTGGAGCGAACGCTCGTGGGCTACTGCTGACGCTGAGAGGCAAAGTGCTAGCACGTGCTGTCGTGCAGGGAGCAGGGCGCAGCTGAGGGCAGCGCCATAGCCCAGCCTCCATAGCTGGTTGGGCTTGGACTACAGTGAGGCGCAGGGGTGGTCTTCGGGTGTACAGAGGGTAGATGCGGGAGTAAGTCAGGGGAGAGAGAGAGAAGGATGATGATGATGGTGATGTGAGGGCACATACCTGGTATTGGCGATGGTCTGCATTGGGCAACATCTTCAAGTACTTCGTGAGCTGCTGACGTGAACAGTTGCATTGTCAATTGTAGGCAGACTGTAGCTGTGTAGGAAGTAGGCTGGGCGCCGAGCACCAAGTAGGGAGATAGGGCCTGGACACTCATGTTGGTGGTGGCGAGAGCAAGCTCTCATTGACATTGGTTTTCAGTGTTATGATTCTTCATTGGTGTTATATTGGTGCATTTCTGCTTTCTGGACACTGTGATACTATCTGGCCTTCAATGTGATTGTGCATTCTGGACATTGTCATCTCGCTATTGCTCATTTTCCTTGCAAATTAAAAAAACTGAAAAAAAAGTTAAAAAAACGCTAGACTGCTTTTCTCCTTATTTAGATAACGTAACTCGGAGAAATGAAACATGTCTGGAACAGTCGGAGTGAATGTCTCTGTGAAAAAGGGATACTCCCCGTGGTGAGGGGACAGGAGGTCACCATTTGTGAAATGGACAGGGACAACGTGGATGGCCAAATGCATTCATTGCCCGGCGAAGGAAACGAGTTTGATGCCAGAGAGCCAAACACAGCTGTCAGAATCTACCCTACCCTCGGTAGGGTAGTTTTCTCAGTGCACAATGGTTTCCCGCCCAAACCAAAAGGGCCAAAGCACACTACAAAACGGATTTCACTTCGAAGAAAAAGTCTACAAAATGACTAAATCTAATAGGTTTGAAACGGTTTTCACCTGTTAGCAGTAGCGAATGCAGATCCCAGGACTCGATCCCTAGTTCTCACCTTACCTGCGTACAGTATCTGTGTCGACCCCAGGAGTTGAACCAGTGACCTGTGTATTCGTAGCAGTTGGTAGAGTGCCGTAGGGTCTATAGGTTGTAGGGGGTTCGATCCGTAGATCTGTCGGGTAGAGGTCTTAGGAGTTCTAGAAGTCGCAGCTGCTACAGTCCCGAAAGGTCAAGGTCGTAGCTGCTACAGTCTCCGAAAGGCCAAGACTAAACCTTCCAAAAGGTCCTAGTATTGGCCTTTCGAAGTTGCTCACGTTTGAGACAGAGGCAAGTGGGCAAGTGGTGGAGTCTACCCGTGCTGAGTCAGCCCAGTCAGTCCTAGTCCAGTCAAGCAAGTACCGTATGGGACTGTGTGCACCACGGGCGTGGGAAAGGGCCAGACCAACGAGCTACAGAAGTATAAATTGAGAGGCAGCGACGAGCCATGCATTCATTCCTGCGTAAGCCATGCGGAAGCGCTGCCACAGCGACTTGTGCGAGGTGGTCTGCAGTAGGCCCGAAGACGAAGTGGGCGAGAAAGAAGCTTAGCCATAGCGATAGGGTAGCAGCGGCCATAGCCGCCATAGCTGATAGGAGATAGAGTAGCATGTGTGAGTGTGCGAGTGTACAGTGTGTTGCGTGTGGGATATCCAGGGTGATCCTGTGTGCGAATCGCAGTGTTGAGTGAGTGACGAACAGAGAGTTGTAGAGGCGATGTGCCGCCATAGCCATTTGAAGTGAACTTGTGTCTGAGCTGCGTTCTTGGTTACTATATCTTTGAGTTCTGAGTGGGCGATTGTCGCCAGTTTGCTGCGCAACCTGTTTGCATGCATGTGAAGTGTGAATGAGAGCGAGTCTGATTGCAGGTTATTATCCTGCATTTTGGTACCATTAGATTCGCAGAGCTCTGTCCCACCATGCCACACGCTCAGCGTTGAGAAAACTCAACGCTGTAGGTGGGACCAGACCCCTGGTCCTACTAGAAGGTGTTGATTGAAAATAATAGTTGATTATAGTGCTGTGTGACGTGCTTTACAGCATTTAAAAAATGATCAAAAAAATGAAAGAAACGCTGCAAAACGCTTTAGTACTAGGCTACCAGAGTGGCCTGGGACCACTTGCCCGGGCAGGCCAAATTTTTATTTTTTATTTTTTATGTGGTAAAGAATTTCGATGTGACCCTGACGCAAAAGCTGTTCACTTTATTTTTCTGCATAACATAGGTTTTGTTTTCAGATTTTTTCGATTTTTTTTTTTTTTTTCTTTTTTTTTTTGTGCTGGTGAAACGGTTTTCACCCTGGCAGTAACAGATGCAGATCCCAGGGATCGATCCCTAGACCTCACCTCACCAGTGTACAGTACCTCTGTGTGTTTGAACCCGTGACCTGCGTTTTAGGAGTCAGTTGTTGCTTGTCATAGGTCTGTGTAGCTGTAGGGGTTCGATCTGTAGATCTGTCGAGTAGGGTTCATAGTTGTGTAGAGGCCGTAGCTGTGGCAATTTTGAAAGGTCAAGGTCGTAGCTGCGACAGTCCTGAAAGGTCAAGGTCGTAGCTGCTACAGTCCCGAAAGGCCAAGTCCACAGACTTCTGGAAGGTCCGGAAGTGGCCTTTCGAGTTTCCCTCACGTTACCCACAGCAGACCAGAGGCAAGTGGGCAAGTGGTGAGTCCAACTTCGCTTAGTCAGCGGTACCCAGTTCCAATCTCACTTTGTACAGTCAGAAAGTACCATGAGGGACTGTGTGCACCGTGGGCCCGGTGGAAAGGGGCAGGCCAGCAACTTACAGAAGTATAAATCAAGAGGCAGCGTCCAGCCATGGATTCATTCCTGCGTGAGCCATGCGGAAGCGCTGCCCTAGCGTCTTGTGCACGGTGGTCTGCAGATGCCCGAGGATGAAGTGGGCCGAAGGAGGATAGAGTATCCATAGCTAGTAGGGGTTAGGTGGCCATAGCTGCTGTAGCTTAGAGGCAGAGTTCAATGTGTGTGTATGAGTGGCAGAGTGTATGTGCGTGGGATATTCAGGAGGATCCAGAGTTGAGTGTGTGCGAACAATGGTCTTGGACACAGTGACGAGAGCTGGGATGTACAGGCGCTGATGCGCCATAGCCTGTTAAAGCGAGTTTGCATCTGAACTGTGTTCTCGGTTCCCATATCTCTGAGCTTTGAGTGGGCGCTTGGCGCCAGTGTGAATTGCCATCTGTCTGCATGTATGCGAAGTGAAGAAGAAATCGAGTCTGATTGCACTGGGACCTACTTTGGCCCTTGCACGGCCGCGCCACCCGGGCAGCCCGGCTGGTGCCCTAGCTTTTGTACCTATTTTCAAAATATGTCGGACGCAGTGTGACTGTTACATGCTGCGCCTGCAACAGGCTGCACGGGCCATTTTCAGGCCCGTGTCATTTTCAGCCTGAAAGCCTGAAAACGAGGGCCTACAGGCCCCGTGTCTGTTTCAGCCTGACAGCCTGAAAACCAGGGCCTACAGGCCCCGTGTCTGTTTCAGCCTGACAGCCTGACAGCCTGGAAACCAGGGCCTACAGGCCCCGTGTCTGTTTCAGCCTGACAGCCTGAAAACCAGGGCCTACAGGCCCCGTGTCATTTCAGCCTGACAGCCTGAAAACAAGGGCCTATAGGCCCTCAGGCTTTAGCCAGAAGCTACCTGGAAACTTCCCGGAAGCTTCCTCAGGCTTTAGCCAGAAGCTACCTGGAAACTGCCCGGAAGCTTCCTCAGGGTCTAGCACGTTTGGGCATTGGCAAGAGCAGCCTCCTGGACGGGCCAGGACTATATAAGACTGGCCCGCCCTACAGTTGGGAGGTAGTTCATAGGGACTGGCCAGGCACTTCACGTGGAGTCCAGGCAGGCAGGAGGCAGTAGTGTTCAGGATTCGGCCGCAGCACTCTGGAGGGAGCGCTGCAGGAGTAGTAGTAGCGTTGGCCTTTGTCTTCAGCACTGGGCGCAGTAGGTAGCTGTAGTCTCCAGCGCTGGGCGCCATAGCTAGGATAGCACTAGAGAGAGAGAAAGAGATTGGGCGGAGGCCAGAGGTACTTACCTGCAGCGCCGTTGCTCCAGCTTCGTCTTCGAGGTACCTGCATAACAGCGCCAACATCACAGGTAAGTCCCTGGCTCGTAACAGAGAGAGAGAGAGTTCTTCTTCTTCCTCTTCTCAGTCCACCATCTCCCTCTTACCCTCTCATCATCTGACTTCACTGCATCTGCAGACTACGAGAGAAGAGAGAAAGAGCTTGGTGACATTGGATCCAGACTCGACTTTTGGACTTCAGACATTGCAACGAGGGATTATTTGGGACTTGTGACAAAGACTTGGTGTTGACGACATTCCCATCTCTCCCTCTCCTCTTCGTCTGTGTATGTCTGGACCTGGCGCTTCCTTCCTGTGTACAGCGCCAGGCTCCTTCACACCTTGTGATGAGCATGATGTATGTTTGGTCTATGATGAAGCCTTGATTGGGTCAGTCATCAGTATTCTAGCATTCTGCTTCGCTATCTTGCACTATGTGATAAAGGTCAGTCTCGGTCAGGTCAGGTCTTGTATCTAAATCTTCCCTGCGCTATTCGACACCATTTTGTATGTATCGGAATGCACATTGCTAGTTGAGATTCCACTTGCACAGCATTGTCCATTCAGTATGGTTTGTATGTACATCGCCCAACCAGGCATGTAACAGTGACTGAAACACGCCATGGTAAGGGGATAGGGCATCTCTCTTTCCTGAAATGAATGTGGACAACATGTGGCAGGGTGGAACACCAACCAGTGAACCGGGCCCAGCGTCCCATATAGAATTATACAAATCAGTTCAGATACCGGGCCCATTACCCGGCCTCGGCACGTTCAATGAACGCGCCGTCAGAATCCATTGCCATTCTTGAATCGGATTTCGTGACAATGTTATAGTTATCGTGACGGATGTGCAAATTTTGAACGCCTCTCAAGTTTCGAGTCTTTCGACCGATGTTACAGTTACCATTACATTCAAGATTTGCACAGCCGTAACGGTAACTGTAACAGAGTTTGAAAGTTCAAGGTGAGGAGACATCTCTGATATTTGACTGACATGAAAACTTAAAATGCATCTGTTTGAACTTTGAATTCATGAAATAGATTTCTGTGAAACGGATCGATGCATTTTTGAAGCTCGATGATGTTAAGCTGGTTAACAGACAAGCCAGTCATACAAGTGATGCAGCCAGCAGTGACAACGACGAATCGGATGGCAAGAAGCCTCTCTGTGCTATTGAGATTGAAGGTGACTTCCAATGGTGAGTGCATGCACGCGAGTACATATTCGGCGCGGGGCGTAAGGCACATGGCGTGTTTTGCATAGTTTTGTGAAATAGACTGTTGTCACAACTTGTCAGCATACCTTAACAAAATTTGCTCTGCCATCTCTACTTTGTCTGTTGCCGGTTTGTTGAGACTGCGTATCAGTAGACGTTCGCGAGTCGATCAGCTCATTAAATGAAGACTAGAGAGGAGGAGGAGGAGGAGGAGGAGGGGGCTAAGTTACAAACCATGATGATCGTCATCATTGTCATTGTCGTCATTGTGGCCAAAGGCATCGTCGTTATTGTCACTGTCATTGTTGTCGTCTTCCTCGTGTCGTCGTCGTCATCTTCGTCAGCAGCAGCAGAAGCAGAAGCAGAAGAAGAAGAAGAAGGAGAAGAAGAAGAAGAAGAAGAAGAAGAAGAAGAAGAAGAAGAATTTTGTCGTGTCTACCATGATGATGATGATGATGATGATAATCATGAAGGAGGGGGGGGAGCCGAGGAGGAAAAGACGAAGAGGAAGAGAAGAGGACGAACCAGAGTGAGCAGTGTAGTGTGCATGAGTCAGCAAAGAAGCCTGTAACTTAAGAAGAAGAAGAAGAAGAAGAAGAAGAAGAAGAAGAAGAAGAAGACAATGGAGACAACAAAGAGGAAGAAAATGACATTTCAATTTTCAAATGATTTCATCAGGTCTGAAAATTTTTTCCCACCTTCCCAAATTGAGACTTCTTTGAACTTCGGAAAAAAAAAAAAAAAAAAAAAGAACCTCTTGGTTCTGGCTCCTACCATTCTTAGGAGACAGTCTGGAACCACTTGAGAATTTTTTTAACCTATTTCGGCCCAATTTTAGATGTCCGTATGCAGCAGAGAATGTGCAAACGGCGTCCCAGGGATGCTTTATGGGATGCTGTATGGTCATTTGAAAGGCTCCAGGGCACTCTACTGGATGCATCTGGTCACTTTTAAGGCCACAAGTACATGCTCACTGGAGGATGATCTAACCCCAATACGTCTCATCGTAACATGCTATTTTACATGACCCCTCGCACAGGATGAAAAATTGTCTAGAAAAGGGTTGAAATTTTCGCAATTCAATTTCGTCACGTGAAAAATATCTTTCACATTTAATAAAATGTCAGTTAAGAGGACAACGCCGACAAAGAAGAAGAAATAGAAGAGTGAAAAAGGGGGCAAGGGAGGGGGTGGAAGAGGTACTCGCCCTCTCCTCTGGCTTCCCACATTTCCAAAAGCAGGGTAGAGGTCACAATCACGAGTCGTTTGGTGGCAGTGGGTGACTGTCAAACTGAGCATGGTCATTGTTATCTTTATCGGAGGTGGATGAGGATGTCATGGCTACCGTCTTCACTGGAAAATAACACCCGGGCGTTGTTTACGAATATAGTGCCCGAGCCACACCAGGTCCCCCGGAAGGGCGCTCGGGGCGCCTGGCTGTGCGACCCCCCCAGCCAGCCACCCGGGCCCCCTCAGCGCTGTCCCCCAAATCGTGCCGATTTTTCTTTTTTGCGCCACGGGCGTATGGCACAGAGGGGGGATTTTTCTTTTGCAGCGGCCACGGAATTTTTCAGGGTCTGGTAGGCACCATTTTGTAGGTTTCTTTTTTCGTCTTCCTGGGCTGTCGATCTGCATTGATCAACGGCACCGAAGTCCCAAGATTTTGAAATCGAATCTCAGGACTTCGCCCTGTGCCCTACACCCCACGCCAGTTCATCGTCGCCCTGCCATGGTCCTCCACGCCGTCGTTGCCATGCCGTGGTCGTCCGCGCCATCGTTGTCATCGCCCTGCCGGCCTCCAGCCACGCCAAAGTTCGTTGCATTGCAATTCTAGACAACATAGTCTTTTTACAGTTTTCTTTTTTTTTTTGGGGGGGGGGGGGGGGGGGCGCGCTCCTTATAAATTCGAAAATAGAGAAAATAAAACAAAAACTCAAACCAAAACATACCCCTTGGAAGTCAAAACGCCTTTCAACCCCCTTTAAAACCCATGTATACTCCATCTACAATGCCTCTGCCCATGGTACATCCAAATATAGCACCCGGGCGTTCTATTCGAATATAATGCCCAGGCGTTAGCTATATTAAAAAAAAAGTGATTATAAACAAAAATGCTGAAAAATCTATTTTTTTTAGGGTAAAGTGAAAATAACGCTCGGGCCCCGGGCGTTATTTTCGGGTGAAGACGGTAGCATGGTCATGCATTTAGGCACTCGAAGACTTCAAAATTCAAATACCTGCTGCCACCAGTCCAATATTGTGCACACTGCACACACTTATTCGTACCCCAAAAGTCTTGCTGCTGCAATGACTTGCTGATTCTGACTGCCGAGATTGACTGTGAGGCTGTACACTAACTGGTAGGTTAGATTCGCAATTTTGTTTGGCTGAGGGCTAACTGAGAGACCTACCTGTGAGGAAATTCGTGAGGGACATATCTGTAAATTTGGGAAAATACAGCCCTAACCTAGGCTACCAGAGTGGCCCGGGGTCACTTGCCCGGCCGGGCCAAAAATAATAAAAAAAATAAAAATAAAAAAAAATATTTTCAAACTTTATTTGTTTTTGTAAATTTGGTTTAGAATTTCGATGTGACCCTGAGGCAAAAGTTGTTCAGTTTATTTTTCTGCATAACATAGTTTTTTTTCGGATTTTTTTGATTTTTTGTTTTTTTTTGCTGGGACCTTCCCTGGTCCTTGCACGGGCTGGCCACCGGGACCCGGGCGGCCCGGCTGGTAGCCTAGGCCCTAACACTAACTGGATTTCCTACTACTACCCCAACTGCGAATAGCCGGCCCAGGCTACCCCTAGGACAGACAGGACCTAAGTGGCCTACACTGATAGACGGTCCTATAGCCTATAGCCGGGTCTGGTAGAGGCCGAGAGGCCGAAACAGAAATGGTACCGGTCGGTCAGTCAGTCCAGTCGAGGTCTAGTGTAGTCTATAGATAGGTTAGGCCCATCGGTTCAGGACTTTTGGCAGTTCATTTCTCGCGAAGCAGCGTTGGAGAAGCCAAGCAAGTTGGTGGCGGTGACGGTCTGCAGGCAGCATCCTGAGACCTCGCTGTTGACAGCAGCCATAGCCGGCCCAGTCTGAGCCTGCCATAGCTGGGGCATCCTCAGCGCATCTACCCCTGGGGTATCTGCGTCTGGCCAGGCTACATCAAGGCTCTACACTGTGTACTGGTGGGTGGTGGCAGCCATAGCTACCTGCTCCTTCGTCAGAGTTGTCCATCGGCACTGAAGACTTCATCGCAGGACCTGTTCTTCATCAGGGTGGTTCGCGCTGGCCTCTGGGAGGCCATTCTGAGGTGGCGCTACTAACTGGGTGTAGGATAGAGAGTGGGGTGTGAGTTCTGAGAGTGGCGAGATACTGGAACAAACTCTGTTACGATAATTGTTTGAGTTGGCTCATCATCAGTGCAATTTCAATTGTTATCCTTGCAGGTTCTACTTGTGATTGGTTGTTGGGAGTTTGTCAGAGAGAGAGAAACACTGTGTGTCTTCTCCCCATCTGTGCATAGCTGTATTCCGCTGCCTACTTTGATCTGTGTGCAGTGTGGACTCTGTCTCCTCTCCCCCTTCTCTTATGCATGTACGGGCGTGTATGAGATTGTCTGTGTGTGAGTGGCGATAAAAATCGTCAGACAACCAAGTTCATAACACTGCCCTTTTTCATGGATGCCCCAAATCACCCCCTGAGATCGGCCCCCAAAGTCACCCCCAAAATCGTCCCCAAAATCGCCGCCCATCATCACTGCCCAAACTGGCCGCCACCAAAAAAACTGGAAGACCATCAGAGCCCCGTGTTTCTTTTTCCTTTCTGTACTCTTTTGGTTTGGCCAGAGCCCTGCAGTCCTGTCATGACATCCCAGGCATAAGTGGCTGGTGTGGATCTTAACAGCACCGCAGTGCCCTGTCAGGACACAGGCCAGGCATAAAAGTGGGTCAGGGAGATAAACTCCATGGCAATTTTTCCTGGGGTTACCTAGGAGGACCTCGTCCCATTTTCTCCCCCTCCATGGCAGTTTGTCCAAGGGTTACCTCGGTTCCCCTTGTCCAGGTCCATCTGCCACCAAGCCTGGTCTCAGATGTAGATTCATTCACTCTACTTTCGTTTCAACTCTTTCACCGGTCATTCTACATCTCTCTCTCTCTCTCTCTCTCTCTCTCTCTCTCTCTCTCTCTCTCTCTCTCTCTCTCTCTCTCTCTCTCTCTCTCTCTCTCTCTC